AGAAGCAGCAATCTCCAGATTATACAATCAGGAGAGAAGACTGAAAGAGATTAGTTTAACATGAGGAAATGTTTGTTTTCCAAAATGCACTTCCTGAAATGTCAGTCTTTTTGGTTAGACTGGAAATGAAGCTATTTAATATGACATAGTGCTATTTGCATCCACCAGAAAGGATTGAAGAGAAATAGTTAAGTTTTACAACACACTAGAAAAATGTCAAATCTCTGAACAAGCCACAAGAATCGTCATTGCAAATGGCTGAAATGTAGAACAACTGAAATGTGAATATGTACTGTAAAGCATAACATAATCATTTCTCATCTTGAGAATTCTAATATAAATACAGCTTTGCATACACAAGCGCTAAATATAGGAGTGATTGTAACCCGCTTATACACAAATTAAGGGTAAGATATATAAAAATTAAAGAAGCTACCTTGAAGAATGAAAGACAGAAAAAGTGGATGACAAGTGAAATTGAGAGGCAGTAGATAAAGCTAAGAAATGGTGTAGAGAATATAAAGCTAAACAAAACTATCAGATAATGACAAACAAAAAAGGCATAGCTATATGAGAAATGTGCATAGATTGAGCTCCAGCAGATAAGAAAAATAAAAGGAAGTAAAACTGATTCTTTGTTAGATTCTATTAAATCTAAAGAGGGGAAGAACATATGGAAAAAGTTTTACATGATAAAATTATTCACCTAATAAATGTCCAAGAGCTGCAAAATATTAGAGGATTTCAGTAGATCAGATTTCATAAAATTGCCAAAAGAAAGCAGAATGAATTTGAATGTCATTGAACAATAAGTTTGATGTCCTATATTTTTTTTAATCATTTCACCTCCAAGCAAGGCAATAAAGCCACTAAGACACATGGGGTTACTGTGTTCAAAAGAATGTGAAAAGAAAAAACTGTAAAAGAATATGAATTAAGAAAACAGAAGATAATGATTGACATTGCATTTAAATTTTAGAAGATCAAATTTAATGGGAAAGCAAGAAGTGTGAAAGAAAAAACTATTAGCATTGAACTTATGGTTACATTTAGCCATTTCAACTGCAAAATGATGAGACCTTTCCACCAATCTAGTATTTATTGTGCTTAAATTTATAAAAGTCTAGCTACCATAGAGGAAAGTTCATCAGAACAATTACCATGAAATTAATTATAGAAAAGACACAGGGAAGCTACATTACAACAGTGGGAAAGTGACTGAAGCTCAGATGCCAAATCAGGACCAATAACTTTGTAGATTCTGCTAAAGAAACTCTAAATATATAGCAAGGATGAATGGTAGACTTATAAATATGTGAGATAGTTTCAGGTGAGAAATATTGACTAGGAGAGGCACAGTGAAATAACTTTCGTACTAGCAGACCTAGCAATTGATTAGATTTGATATTTCCTCTTCTTCTTCATGTAAGGAGAAAAGTTAATCTGGGAAATGAACCACTCTCCCAGATATTAGCATCAACCATGCTGATGGAAGGCAAAAAGGGTTCTCTCAGACAATTAAAAGATAACAGTTTCATTTTGGAGGTATTAACAAGACATTCCTTGTCCCAGTTAACAACAGGCAATCATTTTGGGGATCAGCTGCCAAGTTGAATTTATCAAACTGATCAAACTTACAATTAAGACTGGAATAAATAGTTATATCATCAACATAGATACAAGAGTGAGAGCTGATGACATCAAGAAGGTCATTGATGAAAATTACAAACAATGTAGGTCCAAGGATAGAGCCCCCGGGAACACTTGCATTAATGCAAAAATATCTAGAAGAGTGGCCATTCAAGATAACTTTCATTTTGCAATTTGATAAGAAAGACTGAATCAATTCAAAAATTTGTGGGGAAAATAGAAATGGTTTACCTCCCAAATGCCCTCGCGTCTGCCTGGCCTGTGGGTTGAGAAAGGAAAGAAAAGATCCAAGATGGCGTCCGTGACTTTTAATATTCATGGTCTCGTGCAGTCATGCAAAGTCGTGTTACACACATGCTAATCAGGTGTGTCTAGGCTCCATAAAAGCAGGTCGCTTGGAGAAATTGGCAGAACAGCATTACACCTGTGTTTGGTGTACATTGCTTTGCGTTGCAGCGTGTCAGACATTTTCAGACGGAAAGAGTTGCGTCCCTTACACTGTTGAAGTCGACTCATTTGCTACAAATACTATAACCTTTCAACCCTGTCAATATCCATGGCAACAGCCAAAGCTTCACCATTCTTATCTAAACCTTGATAGACTCTTTCAGCAATATTTGTTAATGCATCAGTAGTTGACCTAGAGAAATGAAAGCCATATTGCTTTACTATTTACATTGTTTGGACTATCATCCTCATCTTTGTTGCCATAGTTATTATAACGTTTTGGCCGTTGTATGCTCCGGCCCTCGTCAGGTGGTTGGAATGTCGCCATATTGCTTATCTAAAAGTAGACTCTGCAAGGTGATATGTTTAACCAAATCAGACTTGGTTAGAGCCTAGTTAGAAGGATCAGACAGTTTGCTTGAGTACTTAAAGACTGGAACTACGAAAGAGGATTTCCAACAACCAAGAATCTGCAAGGAATTTATTGTAGAGTTTATAAAGAACATGAGACAGTTCAGAAGTCCACATGTTTGTGAAGATCCAATTTAGAGATGATAGCAGATACCATAGATACTGTTATATGCATATCACTCAATAGAAACTCATTTCTAAGTGGAAAGTTAGAAAAAGATTCTCCAGATGAGTAGAATTAGAAGAGAATTTATGAGCAAAACATTCTGCTTTATCAGCAGTAGATGTTAACATCTCAAATGAGTGAAGAGAGGAGGAATAGAAAACTTACACTTATTTAACACACTATTACAGAGCTGCCAGTAATTATGAGAACCACACTTGTTAGAGGCTATATGGTGCCTTATTTTAGCAGCAAATAAAGACTTAGCCTCACTGAGAACACATTTAGAATTATTGCAAGCAGGCATAAATAGATGTTTTATGTGATCGGAACTATCATGTGGGCTTTATCAGCTGAACAGGCCTGTGTGTACCAAGGAGATCGTGGTTTCACCTAGTAAATACCAAGAAGATACAATAGCCTCTAGGCAAGCTATAACTCAAGAAGATATTTCTGTGGCACAATTCTCAATAGAAAGTTTAAGAATAACAGAATTAATAATTAAGAGTATAATAATTATCAGAATTAGACCGGAAATAGTGGAAGAAGAATGTGTTCAAAATGCTGGAAGAAGAAATGTAATTCTTTTCTTGAAATAATAAGAAAGCTTCATTTCGATGGAAAGTATATGCAAATAATCTGCTGTCTGGGAACAAACAGCTTGCATGTAAATAGACATCTAATTAAGTCCATCAAAATAGTGAGAAGAGTGACAAGGATGTGATTTATTCTACTTGTACAGTTATGTGATTCAAAGCCCTATCAAGATTTATTATTATTAGTGGATGTAATCTTAACAGCAGATAGCATATTCAGAAGGAAAACTGTAAGAGTCAAGAAAGGAAAAAAAAAAAAAAAGATGAAAATTGTGAGCAAAATAGGTAGCTCATGGTACAGAAATTTCACTTTTTTGGTATAGTAATAGACAATGGAAAGTGTGACACTGAAATTCAAAGGCATAGGTTTTCAAAAACTGATCAATATATTAAGGGGTTGGAAGATAACATTAGAAGCAAAGAAAGGAGTACTGGACTGCTATGTAATGTCTAAATTTGTTTATGGTAGTGAAAATTAAACCATTTCATCACAAATGAAGAAACTTGAAGTAACCAAAATGTGGTTCTACCAGCAAATATTGAGAATATAATGAACAGAGCATGTGACAAACAAGGAAGTTTTAAGAATAGGAACTATAAAGAAACCATTGGTAACAATCAGAACAAGACAGCTGGAATATTTGAAACTCACAATTTAACACTTACAGGACACATTGAAGAGGGAACCAACAAGTAATCAATGTGGTAAGCTTTAAGAAATGGATGGAACAATAAATACCATAAAGACAGAGGGCATAAGAAAGGAGTAAGTATTACCAAGAACAACAGAAAATATAAAAGCTAGAGAGAATCATGATTGCCTGTATCAAGGGAAGATGAACAAATTGTAATGTTAACACTAAAAAACTTCATTTAGCAATCACTTAATCAAAGGAATTAAAAAGAAAAAAAAATGAAGTATTCAGTCAATGATTGTGTGGTATTCTACACTCGCATTGTACGAGCAATAGACCCACCCATGTGGACTATATAATCTGTGACTTGCCTAAATTTTATTTTGTAACTGAGTTTTGTTTTACTTATCACAGTAAGTGATGCTTATTTTGTCATTTTGAAAATCCTTTTACTGCTGCTTTTTTAAGTTTGTCATCGAACCTGTGTTTCTTGAATTTTTTGCCTTAATTGATGAATTTAAATTTAGTGATTATAAACAGAATTAGCAAAACTGATGTTTTTATGAAAGGCATGAATCCAATAATTGGTCATGAGAAAACAAAGAAGAGAGTGTGTAAATAAATACATGATATCACCCATCATAGATAAATATTTTTCTTCTCCTCCCTTCCTCTTTGATAAGAGAAAAAAGTTTATTTTCTATTTGGTTTGATTGTCACTTTTAACATTGCTATATGTCTGCCTTTAAAAAGACTGGAAATCATTGGCATTTTGACCATCCCCACATTTCTACAACTTTTTTGCTTTTGTTATTTACTTTCAAATAAGTATTTTGTACTTTTCTGCATAAAGAATTCAAATGAAATTCTGAAATTTGATTTAAAAGAATGTAAATGTGATTGTAATCTGTGCTTTTCAGTGATGCTATGTGCTATGGGTGTGTGTTGATTGTTACTTGCATGTGAATTGATAACACAAACTACAGTTATATGACTGATAGACAACCATGACAAATTGTAGCTGCCTGTCTGACTTTGTTGTCCAAAGATGAGGTGCCATCTGTTTGCTGTTGTGTACAAGTTCTGCTTGTGTTCCAGCTCTGAAACCTACCATTATAAAGGACAGTCCGCAGGATGCAGTTGTTGACAATCCCTTTGCCAATGATATCTTCGATCCATTGAAAACTGTACCTGTGCGACGTAAGATGAAAATACCGATGCTTATTCTACTAATCTAAGATTAATCAACGACACAAACATAACACTTTTTGCAAAAGCCTTGCTTTTGACTTTTGGTTTTTTTTTTTTCTTTTCAGTTTTTTTCTTTACATTCTTTTTGCCATTGTTTGTCAATAGTTGTGGTTACTCAGTGTTGTCTCAGAGTTTGAATTGTACCATATTGCACAACTGTCCTTTTCATCAAATATTTTTACATTTTTCTTATATTTTACTGTGTGAGGATAGCAAAAATAGAATTAACATAAATTAGAAAATGTTTTTGATGATTTTTTTCCTTTAAAATCCTTTAGAAAATTTGAGAAAGCATTCATTGTTCTTGGATTTTCTCATCCCCCCCACAAAAAAAATGGGCAAAGTATCTAAGAAACAAGTTTTTTCCCTAGTACTTTAATTTTGTCATTTAATGATCTTTGATTTTTAAGTTTTCAGAACATTTTTTAATGCCTTTTTTACAATATGTAACATTCAAACATTCCTCTAAATTTTATTTGTAGTTATGATTTTCTTTATTTTTCATTTTAAACTAGAAAGTGTTTTGTTTTCGTTTTTCTTACAAATTATATGCTTCTACTTTAAAGTATTTGTGTAAATTTTTCTTTGCCTTAAATGAATTCTGTGTACAAGTGACAAGAAAACAGTATAGAGATCTACATCTACTTAATAAAATACAAAGTGATACTCCAATTTAGATGAACAAGATAGAAAGTTTTGTTTTCTTGTTTTTACTTAACTATATATACATTGTATTTGCTATATACTTTTTATTGTATCCAGAAAATATTCTTAATTGTAGAGACAGTTCAGTAAAAGGGGAAAAATCTGGATTACATAATTGCTTTTTGTCTATGCAGTCTGTAACAATTAAAAGAAAATAGGAAAAATATGTATATTAAGGGTATATTCATGGCTGGTTCAGTTGTTAAAACTTTAAAATTCTTTGAATATTTCACACAATACCAAAAGCAATTTTACATCATTTTTGAGAACATTGGAGAAGATTAATCCAAATTAGACTAACAGAATGAAATTGGAATTAACATTAAAATTTAAGTACAATGAAGACAATTTGTATATATGATAATGATAGTTGTTTTTATTGAACATTCTTGAAAGTGGCAAGTGTCATTGAGACAAGTTAAAAATTGCTGATAGTTGTTTTTGATGAAATTTATAAATTAAATTTTTACTGCTGCTTCTGATTTTTGTCCTTTTGATCATATGAAATTGTTATATTTTGTGCTATTGTGTAACACTTCAGCATTTATTTAACAAAAATATTGATGGAAAAGAAATTAATGCAAAGGTACATGTAATCTTGCATCGTTATAAAAAAATCTGGGATCAGATTAAGTATTTCAGCATATTTTATCTGTTTTGTAAATTCTTTAATGAAATAACAACTTAGACAAACATTGTCAAATTTTTCAGCTTTTCTCCTATGGCATTTATTAAAACACTTTGGTTTTGTTTTTTGGAGGTTTTTTTGCAGTTGCATAAAATTTAGTTTGTTTCGTTTTTGTTTTTTTTTTTAACTTTTCAGTTGCTTTTGCTTTTTTAGTTTTCTTTGGTGTTGTTTGTGTCTGTTATAATTTTGAGTTCTCATTTTAACCATTTATTAAGAAATAATATTTTAAAAAATATTTAACTGTACACTTTGCTTCATATGATATTCTTTAAGGGAATTGTATTATTAGTTAAATGTCTCTTAAAAGCAAGTCATGCTGCGACTATTTCAACTGAACTCTATATCTTGTCAGTCCTGAGTTGTGTTAGCTCAAACATTATTGGTTCTGTTGTAAAGTCCAAGTTGGGTTATTTAAGTTTTATTCATGTAATCAGTTCATTTTTGTTTCCATTCTTCCTTCCAGCTTCTCAAAGTCAAATCGTTTATGGTGTTTATTTGAATTAGTATATTAATAATTTATCTATTGACTACAAATAGGAATGAGATGACCAGTTATAGTTTGGTTTGAGAGAACCATTTAGTTTTAATAGTTCATATGTAGTGAATGATCTGTCTTTACCATACTTTATAACATCTATTAACTAAGGTAAATTATTTCAGCTTTATTTACCCACTTAAGCATGTAATGAAATTTATTGACAATTGTGTTTTTAGGTTTTACATATATTTTATCTCAAACATGTTTTTCAGTTTCTCTGATAACACAATGGTAGTGGGCTGGCTGCCATTCATAGAAATTTAAATAATCGCCAGAGAGAGAGAGAGACAGTAATGAAAGAAAAAACAGTCAACTAGGATTATAATAACCAGGGATATAAATTACTTTTTTAGTAGTTGACAACTGATTAAATGGCTCATTGGGCAATCAAACATTAGAATTTATAAACTTAACCAAAAACTGATGCAGTTTTATCTCAAAATCTTTGTAATCTGCATTAAAAAATTTTTCTAAAAGTAGAAATTTTAATGAATTTCACAATAAAATTATCTCACATATTTGAAATTTCACATAAAAACATTTTCAAATGACACATAATTAAATTTTCAACTTTACAGCAAAAGCTGTACTTTTTCTCTGGGCTTTAAAAGAAAATGACTTTGGGTGTTTTCTTGCTTCCAGAATAAGAGAGGACTTGTTTGATATCAAAGTAGTTTGCCACTTCTTGTGTCTGTCTAATAATCATTAGCTATTACATTGAGAAATAGTTTTACACAAATTTCTTTACAAAATCAGCAGTTCTTTTTTTTGTGTGTTAATAAAACTTAAAAAAAGAACATTTCTTTCAATTTAAACGAAGTTGTTTATTAATGTTATTTTGAAGAATTTTTTAAAAGTGTAAAATTTCCTGTTTTAATAGATATTTTGAATTTGGATAGAAAGTAAAGCTTTAATAAGTGTAGAGATTAAAAAGAAAGAATGTTTGTTGTTGTCCTAACTTGAATATGTTTCTGAAATATTACATTTTCCCTTAATATGAACTTATCTGTGTTAATGTTTTAATTCTATACATTTTGGAATCGTCTAGTTATTTTTAAGTGAATATCCATGTACCCGTTGAGAAATCTCAGAAGTATGTTATTTGATAGCTATTTAATAGTTTTTGGCATTTCTTTTAAATAGACTTTTATTTAAGGAGCTTCTAAATGACTGAAGACAATTAAATAGGAATTGCTGTCTGAATTTCTGGGATGAGGAGTTATTATTTACATGTGGACTATTGTCTGAATCTTTGTTTTTTATCATTGCGATATTTCAGCCATTGAGCCCTCTGGCCTTCATCAGGTACTTGTCATGCTGGGTAACTTTCAGGAAATTTTGAACTGAACCCTTTATTTAATCTATAGGGAATAGATTGTTCTTGTTCTGCTATTCATGTCCAGAGATATCTAGTTCTTATTTAGTATTGCTATTTATTTCTATGCTAGGCCTACTAATGAGGCCTTCAAAGCATAGCATATATACTGATTCTTTCAGATGTCTAATTGTCTAATATTTTTACTTCATTCCACAGGGCTTGATGACTACCTCTCTCTCTCCATACATGATTGGCAATTCCTGATTTCATTGTTTTACTTTTAGGGAATGGCTAGTTTCACTTTTATACTCTTTGCCACAATTATAAAGAATAAACTACACATAGTTTTTGGTCATGTACTCTTCTGTCTTAGGCTTGATTCATCAAGAGATTTCCATGTAAGGTAGAGTTGCATCTGAATATTGTTGTGATGTTCTATGGGATGCAGATCACTTTATGAATGCTGGAGGGCACAATGGCTGAAATGTTGTAATTGCAACAAGAAAGATGAGGACTGTAGTCCAAATGTAAATAATGTAAATAAATAGGAATTGGTTAACCAGGTTAGATTCCACAACTTTAATCAAGAAAACAATTTAGTTTCATTAACTAGTTCACAGGCTGCAAATTATTCCTATTGTCAATGTGACTGCTTCTGTGGGAGGATTTGCAGTTAGTGTAATGATTATTGATGTAGAAAGTGGAATTAACAAGCAGAGTTCAAATTCCAGCATAGTCTATTGGGTTCACTTTAATATTAATGCTCTTGGAAAAGTTTTGAATCTATCTCTTCCTTCTTATTATAGGTTAAATAGTAGGGTAGACGGGTCTCTCTAATTTTGGATGGTAGCCAATCTAGAAGAATAACTCTGAATTCAAGCCATGGAGAAAATAACAGAAAACCACACTACTATTTTTCACAAGAATGCATGGCAATTCACAGATAATAAAGAAAAAACATTCTGTAAAGAGCCAGGATCATCTACATTCTGAAGGGACATATTTTATAATTAAATAATAACAGAAGGTTGAACTCCTAGGAACAAATCTTATATATAAAAAACAATCAGGTAGGTCTTGGAAAAAATGATTCCCTGCATGGAATTTTGGTTTTTATAGTTTGTGGCTTTCATTATTGCACATTGTATTTCTTCTGGCTAAGTATTATTTTCTGTTTATATTTCTGAAATATTTATGCATTGACTCAATTGCTCAGCCATTTTTGTCCAGCCTTTTTTCATCTTTTTGTTTTCATCACAACATTTCAACCTGTTTGTTCTCTGATCTTTGGTTAACACTTTGCCTTCAAATCCTTCTACAACTTAGTCTACTCATTTGTTTTCATGACAATTACTCCTAATACTTAAACCAGAATTTGTTTGACATTCCTTGGATTTTATAGACATGGAATAATGTCACAGACAAGGTTTAATTTCAATAAGGGTTATTTGAGTTGCAAACATGTGACTTTATCAGTTTCTTTAAGATACCACAAAAGAAAACACTCTTCTCTATATTTGTAGTTGTAAAATGAAATGGTTCTCATTTCATTGTAACAAATCTTATTCAAACTGATTGAGACAGATTCTTTTCTGATTAATTTTTCAGCAAATGGTAAAATATAAGGTATGACCCCCCTTCATTAGATTTATTCTTTTATCTCGAGTATAGAAAAATTATGGCTTTTGTATTTTGTTTAC